GATTCCCAACAGCAGCTGAGTCATCCTCTGTATCCAATCCAGCTTTTCAGAGCTCTCTTTAGAGCACCTTGAGGCTGGAGAGGAAGCAATGGAAGGAGGGAAAGCAACTGGGACAGTATGGCAGGGCCTCAGCCAGAATCACCACAGAAGGTCACACAGCTGGGTAGAGCCCACTCTCCTGAGTAGCCTGTTCCTGCCTTGTCTGTCAAGGTCCCGAAATGGGGCCACTTGGACAGTCTGCCCTAGCCTGAATCCAGGCTTCTTAACTACTGTGATTTTATACTACTTTTCCAAGCTCTCGGTGCCTCAATTCATTCAGGGTGAGCTGAAAATATCCATATAATAGCTTAAAGAGTTATTATAATGGGGACTGGAGAGATGGCTCAATGGTTAAGAGGACTTGTTGCATTTCCAGAGGACCCAAGTTCAATTTCCAGAAACCAGGTAGGACAGCTCTCAACCATCTATAACTCCAGTTTCTGGGGAATCTGACACCTCTGGCCTGCCTCTCCTGATACCTGCACATACAGACACACGGACACAGACACAGACACACACACAGACACACACACACACACATGAAAATATTTTTTTAAGTTAAAAGAGTTAATGCAATGATTAAATGAGCTAAAATTTGTAAAGGGCTTAAAAAAGAGCCCAGCATGGATGATGGACTTCAGCATTAGCGGGCCCTGGACAATCTGAGTGAGACAGTCTGCCTATGTGGCCAGCTCCATGCTTCTCAGCTCCAAGCTTCTCAGCTCCCTCAGTTGCAGAGCCCTTGGGCATTCTGTGGCTCTTTGCAGCTAACTCCCAGATGCTAAGCTATATCATTATATGGTGTATCAAAAGAACAATTCTATCTGCAGTGAGTTCTAGGACATCATACATTTGCAAGAAGCAATTGTGCTACTGGGATCAAATCAAACACACCTTTTGGAGTTTAGTGTGGTGAGACCTTGTAAGTCTTGCTTTTACAGTCATAAAAATTTATAAATTGAAAAAGTGATATCCATTAATAACTTACTTCCACTGCATAGAAAAGCCTCTACAAAGGCCACACACTTTGTATTCCATTCATAGCTCCCAGGACCTTCCCCAGCTCACTTTCTTAGTGGAAGCAATGGGCCCCAATTTCTGGATGTCTTCTCTGTGCTGGTGAGCCTGATCACCCCAAGCTGAAGAGGGGCACTGAGCCTTTGAAAGAGGAGGTCTTTCAGGGAAGCAATCCCAAGGGAAAGTTCTTTTATTCCTAAGCATGCGTTCACTCAAGTCCTCCAATTCCAGTCAGGTCTAGGTTTAAGGACCTATCACCATGTCCACAACCAACAAAGGCTCAGAAGCCTTCCCACCCACAGATATCCACCTTGGGTCACCTTCTCTGTCCAGGGACTCTACATGGTCAAACTATTTTCCATCCTGGAATCCTTTGTAGAATATGGCTCAGGTCACCCACTACAAGTACCACACAGTCCCTTTCCAGCCACCACACTGCCCTGGGGTTCCACTGCAGCCTTGGCCATGGAGCTGGGGTTGGTTCTAAGCTGAGCTCCCTTCTCTACCATCAATCTCTGCCCGAGGTAGAGGATGCTACTCTTGTCTGGAGAACAGGTTGGCACCATACCAGACAAGCCAACCTATCATTAAACAGGAGGTGCCACAGGCTTGCATCATGTGAGACTCTGTCCACATCACATACACGCACCCCACCACCTCCTGAACTGGTGTTCCAGATTCTGCCAAGCTGGAAAACCCCAGCCAATGGGGAAAAAGCAGAAACAATCCATGAGGTCAAAATGCCTGGAACATGGGCACCTTTCCCACCCAGTCTCTCTCAACAGTGATGAAGATTCCTGACTCTGATAGCCACAAAAGAGTCACAGGGACATCCTTGAAGGCTAAACTGTAGATTGGAATGGATCAATAACCAAGAAAAAGCCTACTTTTCAGGCTTTTGTAGCTAAACCTGCTGTCAATGTCAGGCATTTAATCTTGGCTAGAATTGGTGCTAATACCCAAACTAAGAAAGGGACTTGATATTTTCCCATTTTATAGATGAGTAAAGTGGATCTCATGGAATTAAAGTGACTCACTGGAGACACAGAATTGTTGGGAATGCATGGAAATATGGGACAAATCTTCCAGAGCTTTGGTATACCAGGCCCCCCTTTGGCCCAGTGATTAATTCAGTACTCAACTTTCCAATTCCAATAAACGAAGAGTGTTCGTTGGTGCCTTTGTTTCCTTTGTCCCTGGGGTTTGTCTCATCATGTCTAAGAAGATTCCAGATCCTTTCCATGAGGCATGGTGGTGACAGAATCGCCGTGCTCAGGGCATACTCATCTACTCCAAGGTTTAACAGTTAAACAGAAAACGGAGCACCATTCTGCCATTTTCTACCAATATTAGTCCAACAATTACAAAAACAAAAATGAGTGAAACTGTCGCCAATTAAAGCACTGGAGCTGAGCACTGGCTACTTTTCTTCTTTTGGCCTGCCACTCTCGAAAATCATTAGTCTACACTTAACTCGGGCAAATACAAATGTTACACGAGTCAAAACCTTGCCCCTGACTTCTTCTCTGAAATGTTATTCACAGGCCCTCAACTGAAGAGGGTAAGATGAGAAAACAGAGGCCATCAGATGGTGGGGGTGGGGCTGTGGGGAGGATCTGCTCCTGGAGCTGCACTTCAGTTTTTTCCTATCTCTCAAAAGAGAGGGGGTTCCATTTAAAATGAATAAACTAGGATCAGGACTGCAAATATTCACCTCTGTGAGTTCTGATAGAGGTGTGGGAGGAAGTCTACTCACGTATTAGTTACTTTTCTTGTATGTGACAAGAAGAAACTTAAGGGAGGGTTTACTTTGGCTTACACGTTAAGAAGGGATCTAATAATGCCCGTTGGTGCAATAGTGGCACAAATGTTATGGAAATACCAACCACTCTTCAACTGGATTTAAGATCTGCTCCCTAGGACAGAGCTCATAACTAACATTGATATCAGGCTTAGGAACCTGAGACTAGGCAGGTCACAGGACATAGGGAAGAACCTATTACTAGTTTTCTGCTAAACTATATGGACTCCTAATGACTTATTGTAATACCCACAGATTAATGCATCTCTCAGCTTTCATCAGGGAAGTTTCCTTATGCAGCAGATGGTGATTAACACAGAAACTGACAACTGGCCAATGTGCAGAGAACAAGAGTCTGCAGAACACTTATCCCTGAATGGGACACCTATATCAAACTTCTACCTTCCAAGGCTCAGGGGTCATAGAGAAAGAGGGGGCAGAAAGAGTGTAAGAGGCAGGGGTAGTGGATGACCACAGAGAAACAGTTTTCCAGACATCTGGTCAGTTACTCATATGAACTCACAGCAATGGTGACAGCATGCACAAGTCCCATGCAAGCTTAAACCAGACAAAATCCGAGCACAGACATGGGGAAATGGGTAAGAAATTCCAAATCAACCTAAGGAAATTGTGGCAATCAGTGTTTACTGGGAGGGGCAGAGACAGTCTCTTTCAAGAATGGGAGTCTTGGTAAGTTAACCAGAGTCCAGTGGGTGGACCCACACTGAAGGACATTTGGGGACACAAATTGGACTTTATAGGCCTTATGTATACATAAGTATATATACACATACAATAGAAAACATCAAATGGGATGAGGACGATAAGGGAAGGTGTGGATATGGGAGGGGATCTAAAGGCCAGCAAATTTTATTAAATGAAAATCACAAAAATTTAATTAAAAAAATAAGAAGGGATCTAGTTCACTGTGACAGGAATGACATAACAGCAGGAATATGAGGCAGCTGGTTACACTGTGTCTGCAGCCAGAAAACAGAGTCGGGAAGAAGTGGAGCCACGCTATAAAACCTCAAGGCCTGGGGTTGGAGAGATGGTTCAGTGGTTAAGGGCACTGGCTGTTCTTGCAGAGTACCAGTTTGGTTCCCAGCACCCACATGATAGCTAACAATCATCTGTAACTCCAGTTTCAAGGGATCTGATGCCCTGGGTTCATACCCCAGATTCATTGCATGCATGGTGCATTTACATGCAAGCAAAACACTCATCGCTTAAAAACAAAAGCAGGGAGAGCTCAGCATTCAAACATATGAGGCTATGGGCTAGGCATTTCACACTCAAAGCACAATAACTAGCATGTGTGAATGAGTAAGCCCAATAGAATGCTGGGATTCAAGTTATGTGGTTATGTATACTTCTCTTAGAGGCTACCTTTCCTCCCCAGTAACATTTTGTTCCTATGACTTTTAAACTGCCTCATAGGGTGACTGTGCTTGTTGAATGAAGGAGGACTTCGAGTTGCTGGAGTTAAACCCAGCAGCCTGCAGGGGAGTTTTGCTTGGCCATACAGAATTTTCGTCAGCTGCTAGGCCAGTTCACATAATCTAGATATGTACTTTTCTGAAAAAATCCGAAGAGTCCACGGCCCAGGGCTAATTTCCATGTGGCTACTGTCAGCTGCAGATGAGATATGGTTTACTTTCTTTGACTGCTAACCAGCAGGAGCTGGAATTTCGGTATTCAGACCTGCATATAGTAGGTGGCAATAAATGACAGTTGTTACATTGCTGGACTCCAGTTCCAGGACTAAGTGGTCCTGACACTCTCCTACTATGACCAGACTGGGTCATTTCATAAATCTCTACCGCAGCCTGAAAGACTGGATCACCAATCAAGGCTCTTATTAAGCACACTTACTGTTCTAAGTACACATATTATCTTATTTGAACCTCATGAGTTCCCTGAGTTACATTATGACCACGGTGCCATTTGCAGATGGGAAAACTGTGGTACAGCCCCAAATTGTTAAGCCTCGGAGGAAGTCAATTCAAACTTACATCTCACCACTGTTGTACACTGCTGGATCTCCCAACTGCTGCTTCATGGGCCCTGCTTCTCCTCCTCCCCAACTCTCCTGGGGCAGGCAGCCTTCACAACCACCTGCCGGCTAGGTTAGCACACTTACGATCAAGGCCATTGACGTAGCGCATGGTGACTTCACAGTGGCCCCACACTGCACTCACCACCGGGTACAGCTTCTTGCCTTTCAGGCCCCTGAAGGCCACTCCCAGGTACTGTCCATCCACGATGAAGCTGAGTGTGCCCTCGTCCATGTCCAGCACCACCAGCAGGGAGTCGGGCAGAGCAAAGGCATCGTCCGGCCCCAGGAAGGCAGGGTAGGCCACTCCAGGCCGGTTCTTGCCGTCGTGATAGAGGCGGCTGCGGCCCAGGTCCCAGCCCCAGGACTCGGAGTCGCTGCCCACCAGTGCGGTGTAGCCCACCGAGTGCAGCGGGGCGCGGGCCGTGGCCACACCCACCACCGCGTGGGTGCCCCGCTGCCGCGCTGGCCAGTGGATCTGCCAGGCGTGCAGACCCCGGGCGTGGCCCACCTTGCCGCGGATGCCATCAGTGCTCTGTGCCACAGGGTGCCGGTGGAAGGTGAGCCGGTCATCATCCTTAACAAAGACATTGAGCGAGCGGTCCTCGGGGTTCCACGCGTGTCTCAGCTGCACAGCCAGCCCGGCTGCCGGCATGTCCAGCAGCTGGTCTAGCCGCGCCGGCCGCCCGGGCTCTGTGCCTCGAAGCTCCCGCTTGGTGGGTCGCAGCGCGGGCTCTCGCACCTCCACCGACTTGAGGCTTCCAGAGAGCTTCTGGCCCATGGCTCGCTGTGGCCAGGGGACCTCTGTGGGCCACCGCTACCTCGCTGGAGCCTCTACTCCCTGCAGCCAGAGATGAACCCGGGGGCTAGGAACCAGGCTTCCTGATAGTAGACAGCCTCTGCTGGGCTGGGGCTGGGGCCCAAGCTCCTGGAAGGAAGCAAAGGGCAGAGGTTATTGACAGCAGCATCCACAGCCAGTCCTTCATGGATGCCCAAGTTTTGGTGGGGCCCTTTGCATGCATAATAGCTAATACACACAAGAATTAATAGTTCATATCTGGTTTCCTGATATCTGAGATATGCCAGGCACTGTTCCAAATGATTTACATTCACCAATTCCTATAATCCTTCAATCCTCCCTTTAATTCACGCATGTTATAGTTCCCATTTTATGGAACAGGGAGAGGGTAGGAATTAGCTAATAAGTAACCGAGCCAAAACAAGGTCACCTTTCAGAGTCTGTGCTCTGCATTAGAGCTGCCATGAAAAATCAGGTTAGAAATAAGAACTGTGCTCCCAGGAAGTTGCAGTGCTGAGACACTAGGCCATAGCTAGGCATGGTGTATCTCATGGGTTCCTAGCCCTGGTGGCCTTGAACTTAAAAAATATCTTAAAATGTAACCAGGTTTGGGAAGCAAGGCTTAGTACAAATGTCCAACAGGGTCACTGGGCAACAAGAACATGGGCAACTATGTGAGGATAGGGTGTCATCCTCAGGAGAATGAATAGAAAAAGGAGAAAGGAGCTATGGAGCCAGAGAGCACTGATCCAAGCCCCTCCCCTTAGCTCTGGGTCTGTAGGTCTCTGTTAAACCCTACTTTCCTTCTCTGTAAGATGGGGATAAAACACTTTCCTCCAGGGAGTATGAGAATCTGAAAGACAAGATGATAAAAGCCCAAAGCTGGGACTCTGGAGGAAGAGTTCCTCTCTGACTCTGTTCTCTGGGCATCCCACAGGGAATGCTTTCCCTTGGATATACCAATATTTTCCTGAGGGTAATATAAACATCATTGATACCATTTGTTCCAGTTAGCATCCCTTTATACACAGGATTCCAATTTTCCCAAGAGTAGGAATTGTTCAGGGGAAGGCCAACCAGGGAGCATGGAATACTCCCTTTGATGGCTCTAGATTTGAGGAAAGGAAAGCTACACACACACACACAAACACACACACACACACACACACACACACACACACACACAGGCCTAGCCAGCACAGGCCTCCCCTGACCTGAGAGCTTCTTAGCTCAGAACATCCAAAAGACAGATGAGGATACAGGATGCTTCTGTGTCCTGTCCTACCTATCCATGACTTCCTATCTGAGACGGTTAATTTTCAATTTGATTGAATTGAGAAGTACCTAGATTAATAAAGCTCATGTCCAGATGTGTTTGCCAGGGCATTTCCAAAGAGAGTTAACTAAGGGTAGAATAACTACCCTGAATGTATATGTAGGCAACACCATCCCACAGGCTGGCAGCTCAGAGAGGGAAAGAAAGAAAAAGAGAAAGCCAACTAGTACAGGCTTATTCTCTGTCTCTGTCTCTGTCTCTCTCTCTCTCCTCTCTCAATCACTAAGAGAGCTGTTGTGCTTGGCCATACAGTCCTTACCACAATGGTCAGAAACCTCTATAAGCCTCTATTTTGTGGGTGAAAATAAATCCTTTCCCTGTAGGTTGTTTGGTCAAGAATTTTGTCACAACACAAAGTCTGACTAACACAGAACACTGGAAGTGGGGTGGTGCTGTGACTCTTCTTGATCATGTGGTATAGACGCCTTTGGAACTGGTTTGTGGGACGAATTGAGGAAAGTTTAGAGACGTCTGCTAGAGAAATCCTAGAAGCGTAGCTTAATGGGTGAGTCTGACGGAACCTTAAAAGACCAGAATGCTGACAGGAATGCTGATGGTTCCAGAGGGGAACAAGAACTCCTAGGAAATGAACCAGAGGCCATTTGTGTTAACATAAGCTGTGTACATTTTGTCCATGTCCTGAGAGGTCACAGAAGGCTGAATTTAAAGGTAAAGAACTAATTAATTTGAGAGGGGAGGTTTCAAGGCAGTCCAGGATTCAGGCTGTGGCTGAGTTTCACTAGTTCTTTTAGCCATATTTACAGTGAGAACTGTGAGCAAAATACAATGCACAGTGGAAAGATTCAAACATTTGAAGTTTATCTGTAAATGAAGCTATGATGGTTAATATTAATTCACTAAGGAGACAAACCCCTAGGCATGCCTGTGGTGAAGTTTCTAGGCTGGCTTGAAGTAGGAAGAACACCCCAAAATGCAGGCAGCTAAGGCCCTGGACTGAATAAAAAGGAGAAAGCCATCTGGGCACCAGCATTGCCTCTCTCCCTCCTGTGTTTGCAGTGTAACCAGCTGCCTCACGCTCTTGCTGCCATGTCTTCCCCACCTTCACAGACTGTATCCCCTTGAACTGAAAGCTGAAATAAACCCTCATTTCTTTAACTTGCTTCTGTCAGGTATTTCGTCACAGCAACAAGAAAAGTAGCAATACAAAGCCATATAAAGTTGAGGCTGAAGAGATTAGGACCATTAAAGATAGGACAATAGGAAAAAGGCTTTGAGGCTATCTTGGGAATTGGCTACACCCAACCACAGGCTGGAAAGTATCAAGGTTTTCACCTATTTGAAAGGTTTTTGCCTTGGGAAGATAGCTCCAGGGTGCCCTGATTCCACAGGGTACCTAGGGAAGTGGTTTCCTGTTTTCAGTCATCAAGGCACTCAGACGTCATTACAGTCATTACAGTCACGATCAAAGATGCTCTAGCTGTTTCAGCCTATAGCAGACCTTAGCCTAGGTGGTCAGGCAATGTGTGACAGATATGGAATCTCCACAGCCAAAGGATTCCTAAGGATTTCAAAAGGAAAAAAAAAAAACAAAAACTGTGAAGGTGGAAAAACTTCGAACAAAACTGTGAAGGCGAAGTCAAAGAGGCTGGGAAGATAGAGTTTGCTGAAGGAAACAGCAGGTGGTGAGCATGGCCAGCTGGGCTGCAGGTGATCTGCAAATGACAAGGCCATAGGAGAAGGCTGGCTGCCCAGGCTCTCTGGAGCTTGCTCACATCATGATGCCACGTCCCCCAGACCTATTGTTTTCCCTCCTGGGTTTCAGTCTTGCTTTGGTTCCATCCTTTCTCTTCCCCCATGGTGTCTACTAGGATTGGAATGTTTACTCTGTGCCACTGTATCTTGGCAGCATATAACTGGTTTTTGATTTTTGCAGGTGCTCATAGCTAAATGTGCACCTTAATGTTCAGAGGATAATTTGGACTTGAAGTTTTGAACAGAGTAGGAACTGCTGAGACTTTGAAGACACATAAAATAGACTAAATGCATTTTAAGATATTATGGGACAGGGGTTGGGGATTTAGCTCAGTGGTAGAGTGCTTGCCTAACAAGCGCAAGGCCCTGGGTTCGGTCCTCAGCTCCAAAAAAAAAAAAGATATTATGGGACAGAAATGAGCCTTTTGGGAGCCAGAGGGGAAATGTTATGGTTTGGGCATCAATTGACAGAAATGAGCTATGATAGTTAATTTTTTTCTTGTGTGTGTATACACATGCATGTGTATAGGTGTAGATGCACGTGTATGCAGATGCATGTGTACACATGCATGTGAGTGTGCAGGCCAGAGGTTAACCTTGACTGTGATCTTTAGGTGCCATCTGCCTTGGTGGTTTTTGAGATAAGGAGTCTCATTGGCTTGGAACTTGCTGATTAGGCTGAGCTGGCTGGCCAGCAAACCCCAAGGCTTCATCTGCCTCTACCTCCCCAGTGCTGAGATTACAAGCACATGCCAGCATGACTGGTTTTTTTTACTTGGGTCCTGGGGATCAAACTCAAGTATTCAAGTTTATGCAGCACACACTTTATCAACTGAGTCACCTCCCCAGTCATTACCCTGAGTAATCTTGAGGGTCTTGAAATCCAGACGCGCACCTGGAAGATTAGTCAAGCATACCTCTGGGGCTAACGCAGGCATTCCCTGTGTGTGTCCTAGCCTCCAGTCTGGTCCTCTCCTTTGTCACTTCCTGTCACAATGAATAGAAACTTTGAAACTGTGAGCTGGGGGCTGGAGAGATGGCTAAGTGGTTAAGAACACTGATTGTGCTTGCAGAAGACCCGGGTTCAAATCCCAGCACCCACATGGCAGCTAACAACCGTCTATAACTCCAGTTTCAGGGGATCCAACAGCCTCTTCTGTCCTCCACAGGCACTGCACGACATGGGTGTACTTACCTACATGCAGGCAGTACACACATACACATAAAATTAAAATATTAATATATATATATATATATATATATCCTTCTTACTTTAAGTTGTTTTTTCAAGTGTTGTATCAGGCAGGAAGGTCTAACAGACACCACCATACTGGTAGCACAACCCAACCAAAGGCCAGAAGGGGCAGGAAAGAACCAACATGAACAGGCACACTGAGAGCCTTTTTTTTAACCCTCCAGTTTTATTCTCAGCTCGTATTTTCTTTCCTTTCTGTTGTTAGGCCTCAGCTCTAGCTGATCTCAACTCTATCTAGAGAATTCTGGGTAATGTTTGATCTGAGAGAATACTAGATCACAGAAGTCTGCAACACTAGTCAATTTTAAGATGGCAGAATAAAGTTACTCATTTTTATATCTGAAATCACCCAAAATTAAGGAGAAAGAGAAACAGATATGCAAACTCTCTCTTCAGTAAAACCAGAACACATTTGTAACCCAAACCACAGCTTATGAGGAGAAGCTGCCAAACAATGTCAAAGGCTGCCCAAGGCAGTGAAGACCAAAGCCAGTGCAAAAGCACCTCCAGTAGCCACCTGTGGCTGAGGAGCTGGGAAGAAGCAGGCAGAGCGGGCCGGCAGCTGGAGTTCCTGAAGGAAGAACCCAAGGTCTAATCCTCAGGAACAGGATATGCAGTCTGGTGTCGCCAACTGCGTTTGGCATCTCGAGGAATGAGGAGGGCAGGGTTACAGAGGAAACCACAGATCTGCCATCTTCAAAGCAGTGTGTTGGTGAGGCATGGGGAGGAGGAGGGCTCTGAATTGGGAGAAGCCCACGGCTGTGAGGCTCTGCAGACTTGACAAGAAGCAACAAACTACAAAGTCCTGGGAACCAAGTTTCTTTG